TGGTCACTGCTACGTGCTAAGCAGGACCCGATGTACGTGTTGATGTTGTGCATATTAGGGACAACGCCTCGCGCTCTAGTGCAGCCATACGTCTGAGATCGTCAGGCGTCCATCGGACGTAGGTGCGGGCGTTCGAGCGATATGGGCGTCGCGCCGTCTTTTTAGCTCATTCCACTGGTTAGGATGTGCTTGAAACATGTGGGAGGAGAGTCCGGCTGATCGCTCGAAGACACGAGAGCACACAGCGCAACTCCAACGGGGGGGGGGTCATCATTCCGATCTACAGGGACAAAAATTTGGTTACCGCCAGTCGAGGCGGGGGCGTGTCGAGGCCAGGTTTTACGGGAACAACCAATAATATACGATCAGAGTGGGATGGCGACCCCACAAAGACCGGCGCATTTTGGAAGCGCGGACACCCCCCACATTTAATGTCTGCGGATGACGTCTGGACTCTTAGCCAGCCGAGGGCTGTTACCAGCAGGACCCTATAGGAGGAGGCCCAGCACCATTCCCCCCTCGAGGACCATCAACCCCACCATTAGATGGCGAGGCATTTGGCTACCTTAAAGAGAGTCGACTCCCGCCGTTTACCCGCGCTTGGTTGAATTTCTTCACTTTGACATTCAGAGCACTGGGCAGAAATCACATCGTGTCTGTACGGGTCGACCGGCCACACGATGCTTTGTTTTAATTGAACAGTCGGATTCCCCGGTCCGTACCAGTTCCGAGTTGACCGTTCGCTGCCGGACGAACGCCCCCCCACGCCGAGAGACGCTGAGCAACGGGCTTGACGGGAGCGCGAACCGCCTGCGCGCGAACGCAGGTTGAGGCCTACACACGCCGTTTACCCGAAGAGGGGCTGGAAGCCGTGGCGCTCCACGAAGACCCGGGCGAGGAGCCGTTTTGCTCGCCGGCCGACGCGCCGGTAGCGACGGGGTGGCGCCGCGAGCGGAGACCCGTAGCGCATGCGACACGCGAAAGAGGACAGAGAAGGGAGCGGAAGACGACGAGCGTAAGCAGCGAAGAACGGGTACTCGAGGTTCGTGAACGACGCATCGCGCACAGACAGACGACCCGATATGAGTCACCGCCAGATGCACGAACGCGAGCGCCCGTCACACCGACCCGAAAACGCCGAACACCGCCGACCGAGACCGCCTAGCCCGACCCGGCGAACCCCGACCACGACCGCGACGCCGAAGGACCACTACGACACTTTGAACCCGCGCCGCAAAGCGCGAACGGAGCGAACGCTACAGCCCCGTACCGGTTCCTCGCTTCACACGGGCACGGCCCGACCGACCCAGTCCTCGGAGCCAATCCTTCTTCCGAAGGTACGGATCCATTTTGCCGACTTCCCTTACCTACATTGATGCCATTGACGAGGGCTGTACACCTTGGAGACCTGCGCGGATGGTGGGTACGGACCGACTCGAGCTGCGAAAACCGGACCCGGATTTTCCAGGGCCGCCAGCGACCGGACGCCGCCCGAGCCGCGGCGCTCTACAGGTAGGTTTTCCGTATCTCCGGACGAGCCGATTCCACGGACACGGTCCTTTACGAAGAAGAACTCTTCCGGGGCTCTCGGCGACGTCTCCGGGCTCGCTTGCGTCACCGCGGTTTCGCCCGAAGCGACGAGACGCCACCGACATCGCTGCCAGCAGCGCCGCCGAGAGGCACTCTCCCCCACCGGGTTCGGGAATATTAACCCGATTCCCTTTCGACGGAAGGCCGGCCGTTCGTCATTCGCGGCGTTTTGTTTGAGGACAACAAAGAGACTTACGGATCCGGCGCCTTTCCCCGGAAGACTTTCGCCTGCGTCTTAGGACCGACTGACCCGTGCTCGACCGCCGTTGGCACGGAACCCTTCTCCACTTCGGTCTTCGAAGGTCTCATTCGATTATTTGCTACTACCACCAAGATCTGCACCCGCGGTCGGCTCCACCGGGCTCGCGCCCTAGGCTTCCGTGCTCACCGCGGCGCCCTCCTACTCGTCGCGGCATCGGTCAGGCGCGCGCATCGTTTTCGTCAGCGCAAGCGCTCCTCGCCGCGACGGTCCGGCATCGGTCCGTCGCTCCAGCGCCATCCATTTTCGGGGCCGGTCGATTCGGCAGGTGAGTTGTTACACACTCCTTAGCGGATTCCGACTTCCGTGGCCACCGTCCTGCTGTCTATATCGACCGACACCCTTTCGGGGATCTCATGGGCGTCGCGTTAGGCACCTTAGCCGGACGTTTGGTTCATCCCACAGCGCCAGTTCTGCTTACCAAAAGTGGCCCACTTGGCACTCGCATTCGTTTCTGCCGCCGTCGAGACGACGAAGGCGGCAGAGAAGTGGGACGGCTCCGTATTCGGGAGAGTCGACCCGTTCCACCCGTTCCGAGTTCGAGAGTAGGTCGAGGCCGTGAACGTCCCCGGGGCCTCCAGTCGTTCGCTTTACCGGATGGAATTGCGAAGATCGAACGCCAGCTATCCTGAGGGAAACTTCGGAGGGAACCAGCTACTAGACGGCTCGATTGGTCTTTCGCCCCTACACCCGGTTCCGACGATCGATTTGCACGTCAGAGGCGCTTCGGACTTCCACCAGAGTTTCCTCTGGCTTCATCCCGACCGGGCGTGGATCGCCATCTTTCGGGTCCCTGGCCGCTCGCTACGCCAGAGTCGGCCGAGTCGTACTCGGAGAAAAAATTACCGACCCGGGGGTGATGCGCCCGCGCGCAGTGCCTAAACTCGACGACCAAAATCGTGACTAGTTCAAGCCGCGGGATCTCACCGGTGGGCGATGGGAGGAAAGTTGAGGCTGCACCCCGCGAACGAACCCCCGTGAGTTTCCCCCCGCCACAAGCGCCCGAGCCCCTGCGTCATCTCCCGGCGACGGGAAAATCGTGGAGATACGGGACGGACAGAGGAAAAGGATGGAACGAACGACGGGACGAAAACGGCAAGCGCCGGCGGAATAGGGCACGGCTAGGCAGGCGGAAGGAAGCGAGAAACTCCCCGCCGGAACCGCTTTCGCCGCGACACCTCTTCCAGTACCGGTGCCCTCCCACGCGCTCTCTCGCTTTCGCTGCGCCTTCGGGGTTCTTCGGGCCCCTACGACTCGCGAACGGCCAGGACTCCTCGGTCCGTGTTTCAAGACGGGTCGGGTGGGTTGCCGATGCACGTCGCGGACCCGAGGTGACGGGCGGCACAGTCAGACGCCGACCTACCGCGCTGGCAGTGCCCTCCCGCGCGCCCAGATTTTGGCGTCCGGACGCGGAGAAGACGACGCGACGAGACGACGTCACGCGCCGGCACGGGAATCGACGCGGCCGCGCCGGTTTCGAAGCTCCCGCGAACACTGTACCGCGCACACCCGAGACGGTGGGGCGCCAAGGGCGCGCGAAGCGCCGCGCGGATCGTTCGACGAGAAGAAACCGGTTCGCCACGTGTAACGGATCGCGTTTACGTTTCCTCCGTCCCCAGCAGACGGGGGCAGTACGCTCGCGGGCCCGACAGAAGACGCCTCCGCCACCGACAAGCAGTGGTGGAGTTTAGAGTGCGCCCTCCGCCTACGAACACCGCGTGTCGACCTGCACGCCGGGAACGGGTCGCGACGACGGACCGGAGGGGAAGTGCGTCCGGTGCCGGCCGTGCGGAATGTGAGCGTCGCGCCGAAGCGCCCGCGCCATATGATGCCGAGCGAAGGAAAGGTGCGGGTGATCGCGAGGAATGGAGAGGAGAAGACACGACGGCAGCGACGGCGGCCACGGCTGCAACAGCAGCAGCAGCGACGCTAATCGCCGCCACAGAGGCGGCAGCAGCGACAGCGGCGACCGCCGCGCTCTCCTCGTTCCCCGCGACCCGTCTCTCCCGTCGGCGACGCGAGCGCAAAAGCAGAATCCGGAGGGCGACCACCGGAACGACGTCCGCGCCGGCCTGATGGGCGCTGCCGCCCGAGCAAAACCCGGGCAACAACCAAATCGAGTTTGGGCCACGTTCGGCAGCACCGGACTGAGTCCCCCCGCGATCGCGGTGAGCGGTCCCACCCGTTTACCCCTGGGCGGTTTCACGTTCTCTTGAACTCTCTCTCCAAAGTTCTTTTCAACTTTCCCTCACGGTACTTGTCGACTATCGGACTCGTCCCGGTATTTAGCCTTGGATGGAGCTTACCACCCAATTTGGGCTGCGTTCCCAAGCAACCCGACTCTCGGATCGAAGGCCGACGCTCGCCGTCCGCACCGAATGGGCCTGGCACCCGCCGCGGGCGGCCCCGATCGAGGGAACTCCGAACTACGCGAGACAAAAACGAGCGGCTGCCTCCGACCCATGCGCCACATGTCCCGAAGCCTTTTACTTGCGACGGGATTCGGCGTTGGGCTTCTCCCGGTTCACTCGCCGTTACTAAGGGAATCCCGGTTGGTTTCTTTTCCTCCGCTTAGCGATATGCTTAAGTTCAGCGGGTCGTCTCGTCCGAGCCGAGGGCGGCGGTGTTTGAGGTAAGACAGCAAAACGCGACCACACACTGTGACGGCAGAATACGGCGGCGGCGGCACAGACTGGCTTCGAGACGCCCAAGGTTTGTATTTCGACCTCCGAGAGCGAAACGATGGTGCTACCACTGTTGCTGTTTGCGCGTGGCCGTAGTCAACGTTTTGCAATCTAGGACTGCTCGCGGTCGTAAGGGAAGCGACCCCGCGGTCTTCAAGCGGGAGACGAAGGAGGAGAAAATTGAAGCAGCAGGCTCCTCCTGCGACGTCCCGGTTTCCTCCGCGTAAGAAACGGGCAATTCTTTCATGAAGAAAGAACGACGCGGTGGACGGTGAGATGCCTCTCGACTATCAAGTGAGAAGACATGCCATTTTCCGCCTCTCGACCGGACGGGGCCCCGAGACAAGGGATCTCGAGGCCGCAATGTGCGTTCGAGGTGTCGATGTTCACTGAGTCCTGCAATTCGCATCAGTTCTCGCGGCTGGCCGCGCTCTTCATCGACGGACGAGCCGAGTGATCCCCCGTCCAGGGTTTTGTTTTGGTTAAGTTTTTTTTCGTGACAGGTTTAAAAAAAAAAATGTGTGCGAGGAGAAGCAAGGAGGCCGAGTTGATACGCGCGCGACCGAGACGGTAGCAGTCCACAGCAGACTGGCACCCCGGCAACCACCACAAATTTGTCGGGGACATAGACGGCGGCCAGGACCGTACACGTGACCACGTCGACGTCGGCGGGAGACGGAGGCTGGTCGGCGGCATCCGTCTCGCGATCGTGGCCGGCGGTAGCGGCAGCGCTCCTCGAATCGCGTGCGCATCTATCCGAACTCGACCTCCCCGCACAGGGACGTAGAGGCGGCAGCAACGGCGGCGGCGGCGGTACGTGAAACGGGACGGCTGGACGTAATACGGCTGGAGACGGGCGCCCGTCTCGCGCAGAGAGCAGAGGATATTTTTTGTCGGACGAGTAGGGAGGAGGAGCAGCATCAGCAGCAGCAGACGCAAGTAGGCGAGGCCGTCCATGCGACGGTGGCGCGGCCATTTCTTTTGACTGCTGCCGCGAAACGAGCGCAAGCTTTCCCCCAACCCTGTTTCGCCGACGAATAACGTGCTACCCGCGACCGACCAGTCGTGACGGCGGTCTCTTGGCGGTACACGCCGCTCGCTTGCTACGAGTCCCAACCGACGAGTCGTCTCCCAAATATACGGCGGGGAGATAGCGAACTCGACGGCGTTTCGAAAACGAACGGACACGACGACATGCGCGGAGTCATCGATAATGATCCTTCCGCAGGTTCACCTACGGAAACCTTGTTACGACTTTTACTTCCTCTAAACGATCGGGTTCGGTCGTCTTCTCCAGGCATCGAACGCCGAGGCAAACACGACACGCGCGTGAAACGGCGGCGGAGACCGCAGCCGCTGCGCCACGTGCACGCTGCCCGGCGGCGTCGTCGGCCAGATCCGAGGACCTCACCGGACCGTTCGATCGGTAGTAGCGACGGGCGGTGTGTACAAAGGGCAGGGACGTGATCGACGCGGGCTGTTGACCCGCGCCTACCGGGAATTCCTCGTTCACGGGGTTGGTTACAGGCCCCGATCCCTATCACGGGAGGTGGTTAAGAGGTTTCCCGACCCTCTCGGGCCGGGGCGAAGTCCCCGCTGATACCTCCAGTGTAGCGCGCGTGCGGCCCCGGACATCTAAGGGCATCACAGACCTGTTATCGCTCCGCCTCGTGTGGCTTTCTGCCACCCGTCCCTCTAAGAAGTGCGTGAGAAAACCGACCCGGACCCGGGCGCTGCGATGAACGCCGAGCCCGCTGTTGAATAAACTCACATCGGCGCACTAGTTAGCAGGCCGGAGTCTCGTTCGTTATCGGAATCAACCAGACGGATCGCTCCACCAACTAAGAACGGCCATGCACCACCACCCACCGAATCGAGAAAGAGCTATCGATCTGTCAATCCTACCGGTGTCCGGACCGGGTGAGTTTTCCCGTGTTGAGTCAAATTAAGCCGCAGGCTCCACTCCTGGTGGTGCCCTTCCGTCAATTCCTTTAAGTTTCAGCTTTGCAACCATACTCCCCCCGGAACCGAACTCTGGTTTCCCGCAGGCTACCCGCCGGGTCATGGAAGCGAACGCCGGCGGATCGCCGGTCGGCATCGTTTACGGTCGGAACTACGACGGTATCTGATCGTCTTCGAACCTCCGACTTTCGCTCTTGATCGAGGAAAACGTGCTTGCCACACGCCATCGCTGCAGTTCGTCTTGCGACGATCCAAGAATTTCACCTCTAACGTCGCAATACGAGTGGCCCCGACCGCTCCCTTCGATCATTGCCTCGCCCTAGACGGAGACCGACAGACGTAGACGAGGCCCTCTTCCATCATTCCATGCTTATCGTATGCAAGCTTGAAAAGCCCGCTTTGAGCACTCTAATTTTTTCAAAGTGAACGTACCGGCCGCCGCGGACACTCGGTCAAGAGCACCCTTGGAGGAGAAACCGCCGACCGCGCACGCGCGCAAAACGGACGCGAAGATTAGACGCGGAGGTAGGTAGAGCAGGGCCGAGGGTAGAGTGGAGAACGAGAGGGGAAGAGGAGGCCGCCGCGCGGATAGAACAGCGGCAGTGAAGCCCGCGGCGACAACGCGAGACGGAGCGACGCGACGCCCGCCCTTTTAGGCGACGACGGCGACGCAGACGACGAGTGAACGCCGCTGGCCGCCATCGACAGGGAGAAACGCCGCGTTGGACCGCACCGTCTTAACCGCGCGCGCCACGTAACGACCCGGCGACACTGCACCGCAGACGGCGACGCTCGCAGGAACCCCCACGCAACCTCCGCGGCGAACCCGCCGGAAACACCTACTACTCCCCCGCGTTACTTCGCCGGCAGGACCACGTGGCGGATATGCAAGCGGTTGACACCGGCGGAAAGGGCCGGGAATGCGCACGGACGACCAAAGTCAACGACGGACGATGGCGCCGCCGCCCCGGGGCCGCGAATGCGACCACGAACCCGAGTTCGGACTACGAGCTTTTTAACCGCAACAACTTTAATATACGCTACCGGAGCTGGAATTACCGCGGCTGCTGGCACCAGACTTGCCCTCGGTTGGTCCTCGTTAACGGATTTGAAGTGTACTCATTCCGATCGCGGGGCCTCGACAGAGTCCCGCGTCGTTATTTTTCGTCACTACCTCCCCGTGCCGGGAGGGGTAATTTGCGCGCCTGCTGCCTTCCTTGGATGTGGTAGCCGTTTCGCATGCTCCCTCCCGAATCGAACCCCGATTCCCCGTTACCGTTGTAACCACGGTAGGCACTTAACCGACCGTCGACAGTTGATAGGGCGGACCCTCGAGAGACCCGTCGCCAGGCGTGAAAGCCAGTGCGATCGACCAGTGAGTTATCCAGAGTCACCAAAGCGGAGCGCGCCGCCCTTTGGCCCCGCCGCGAAACGACGCCGGCAACGACGACGACCGCAACGAGAGGACGGAATGACGCGCATCGGTCTCAGTCTAATATGTAGCGCCGCGACCCGTAACGGTCGACGCGTGTGCCCACGCGCGTGACGGCACGCAGGCGACGGCGACGCGCCGACCGATCGCGGCTTGTGTCACATGTATTAGCTCTAGAATTGCCACAGTTATCCATCGCCTCCGAGGAGGATTACGGTCTCGAGGATTAGGTCCGGTTCCTGAGCCATTCGCGGTTTCGCCCGTTCTAATGCGTGACGTGAACTTACACTTGCATGGCTTAAGCTTTGAGACAAGCATATGACTACTGGCAGGATCAACCAGGTATCGTTCTTTTTCGTGCGCGTTCGTCTCGCCAACGGCAACGACGAAGACTGAACGCTGGTCGGGAGGACGCGCTATGCTGCCGACGCTGCGTTTCGGCGGCTAGTCTGGCGTGCGTAAGACGGAATAAGCGGTTCTTTTACGACACCATCCTATGCGGCAGCGCCGGCGGCGACGGCGGGCGGACCTCCCGGCTTTGATCGTTAAAAAGACCTTTCATTTTAGGGCGCTTTCACGTTTTTCGCGTCGTCGACACACAGCGCCGGCGTGAGAGACGCGAAGTCGGTGACACCCGAAGGAGAGACGAGAAGGCTACGGGGACGCTATGCAACGACGGCCACGACGACAGTTTCCACCGGATACCGAAGGAGCGAATAACAAACGGAAACGAAGACGTTCACCAGCACCGGTCGAACGAGCTAGTGTTCCGGGAAGAGGTCGCCATTTCACCGACGAGCTGTAGCCGCGTGTCTCGCGACGAAGGCCAGCCAGATGGTGGTAGACAAAAGGCTGCGGAGGACGACTACAGCAAAAAGGCGGCCGGTAGAAGAAGGCGGGCGACACCAAAACTTTCGACTGCGCCGAGACGGTAACTGGACAGCTAAGAATTGCGTGGAGAATAACCCGTTAGTAGCGGACCGAAAGTGTGGCAGAAAACCTGCGAAGGCGGTGGCGGGGTCTCCACCAGCAGCATCACCGCGTTAGACGGGCGTACACGGCGATGTGACGGCGGCTGCGATGAAGAACCTTGCCAAGCAGGCTTTACGGTATATGTCGCGACGAACGAGGTACTAACCAGACGGAGACACGTGGGCGGCGGCAACGCGGATAGAGATGGACAGATCTTCGCGATACGTACACGGCTCGTCTGTCTGTTTTCCCGACGCGTAAGAAAGCAAGACACGCCGGAAGAACAGGTACTCGGCGGCGGCAATTCGATTTGTGACGTCTAAGAATTGCGTGGAGAATAGACCCGTTAGTAGCGGACCGAAAGTGCGGCAGGAACCTGCGAAGGCGGCGGCGGGGTCTCCACCAGCAGCATCACCATGTTAGACGGGCGTACACGGCGATGTGACGGCGGCTGCGATGAAGAACCTTGCCAAGCAGGCTTTACGGTATATGTCGCGACGAACGAGGTACTACCCAGACGGAGACGCGGAGGCGGCGGCATCGCGGATAGAGATGGACAGATCTTCGCGATACGTACACGGTCCGTCTGTCTGTTTTCCCGACGCGTAAGAAAGCAAGACACGCGGGAAGAACAGGCACTCGGCGGCGGCAATTCGATTCGTGACCGACGAAACGACATCCTGGGAGGCGGCGGGCAAACGATGAAAGTGTCGCGGGCGCGCGCACACACACACACACGACAGCGCTTTCGAACACTCCTCATTCCTGATCGCATTACAAACGAACAAGTCCGATTCGAGCACCGAGTCGCAAGGACGTTCGACGCAAGTATCGATCACTGAAACTAGCGATTGGAAGGGACACAAGGATTACTCCTCGACATGTCTCCTTCGACCGAAATGATCTCCGGGCTTGGACATGCACGACGGGAAATGCGGACGGCAAACGACAAATAATCGACAAGCACGGGACCAGACAAAAGCAACGGACGACACCGACCACAGGGACAACAGACAACTTCAACATCGACGAGTAGCTAACGGCGATAATACGGCGATGATACGGCGGCGGCGGCGTTATCGGCGGCGAGTGGTTCGACATAGCCGGCACTAGAAGAAACACTAAGACGGCGGCCAACCGGCAAAACGCACGCGCACAAAACGACCGTCAGAAAACGGACTTACGCACATGCCTCTTAAGGCGGAATACAGGAGTCCGGCTACGGCAAACGAAGGCCTTCGACAAAATTACGCACTTTACGCACTCACCTTCCAAGGCGCATTACGGCAGTCCGGCTACGGCAAACGAAGGCCTTCTACGGGACTTACGCACATGCCTCTTAAGGCGCATTACGGGAGTCCGGCTGTGTATGTGTATACATATATAGACATATGTATGTATATGTGTGTTGGTTTGTGTTTGCTGCCACGTGTATATATGCGTATATATGTGTATGTACGTATGACCATACACTTATTTCTGTAGGTATTTCTTTTTATCTTATTTTTCTTCACCTAATATATAATAAAATTATTATCAACTTATCTGATTAAAATATGTTTTTATTGATATTTGTGGATTTGGAATTTTCGTTTTTTAATATATCAAATAATATTATTTTTTACCATTTTTATATTTGCTCGCTTAAGTTATATTTTAATAAGTGGTTAGCATTTGTTTAATGACACTTTCAGTCTTAAATGTTCATTGGTTGTGGTATCTGATTGTCTAGGTCAATGTCGGTGGATGTGTGTACATGTATTTATCAGTGTCTATGTGTATGGGAAGTGCATTCACTTTTAATTATGTATGTATGTATGTATGTGTTTGTTTCCCCCCTTTTTTTTATAAAGTGCAGGGAGATATTCTCTGTTTCGTCACTTTTTTGTGTGTATATATATCTAAATATCTCTGGATGCTTATGTATTATAATCTGATTGTGTTTGTGTTGTTTTACGCGTGAGTTTAGGACCCCATTCGCACACTTGGGATTAAAATGTATACATATATATTGTCAGAGAACCTGATGGAGTAACGTCTATTCTAACGTAATTTCAACGAAGAAATAAATTGAATAACATGTATTTCCCCTTTTCCCCTCGGTAATCTTATAATTTTAAACTTAATAGTGATTAAATTTGGATTTTAAAATTGGCAGTTCTTAATTTTAATATCAAATTCTGTCATATGATTTAATAGTTATTGTTTAGAATAAATTCTTTTTTAATATTACCCGTATTTTAACGATCTGAATAGCTATTATAACATGACTTCGTTATCAGGATTTTTGAATTTTCTTATACTTGTATTTTGATTGGTCATTCTAGCTTTTGGAACAACGTTTTCCCCTTGCGAAGGATCGTTAATTAATTTGAAACTTTTAAAACCATTTGTTTTGCATTCAACATCATCACTTGATAAAACACCGGGAGTGTTGAAACTAAATGGCTATTTTGTAGAGATTTTATAACATGTTTATGTTATAAAAATTTCTAAATAAATATATATATATATATATATATATATATATATATATATATATATATATATATATATATATATCAAGTTAATTTCAATACGTAGCCATGATTAATTAATGGTGAACATGTAATTTTTGTTTATGATCGATTTAATCCAGATGCTTCTGCTAAGCCTAGAGAGTAATTATATATTCATATTGCTAAAAGTAGATACCAATATATAAAAACTATTTAAAAACCCGGATAATTCGACTAAGATATCTTTAACTCTTTCATTTCATTTATACAGTGGTTTAAAGCTTAATCTAGCAATTGTACAATTTTGTTTTTACACGATTTGTGACTATTTTGCTGTTACACCTAGTACACACAACACACACACACACACACACACACACACACACACACACATATATATATATATATATATATATATATATATATATATATATATATAAAAGAGAGAGAGAGATAAAGTGTTTTACGGTTTCTCTATAAAGCCGAACATTTATTAAAGTTGTTTTCAGTCTGCGTGCGGGTACGTATGTGCAAATATTAATTACAACAATGCGATGTCTAATGGATGTGACATTTATATATATATATATATATATATATATGTGTGTGTGTGTGTGTGTGCGTGTGTGTGTGTGTGTGTTTATTTGTAGCTTATGCTGAGTGAACCGCACATAATTTCCATTTCTGTCACTTAGCTTTATTCTTAAAGGATAAAGAAGAATTTTCATTTCATTTATTTATATATTCACCATTATTTGCCCGCAGATTTTCGATACATTTTGAGTAAAATTCCGCAGACTTTAATGTGATTTTTCGATGAACTCGAGATTATGATTTTCATTAGAGAAAGTGTTTCCCATCAAAACGTTTTGTCGCGTTCGAAAAACGTAATAATCGATTACATTAAGATCAAGTGAATATGTCGAGACGTACAGAACAGACCAACCTAGTTCCAAAGTTTGTCTTGTGTTATACTTATTATTTGTGGTTATGAGTTGTAGTAGAAGAGAACGATATTGTTTTCCTTTAATCCGCTATGTACACTGCCGCTCTCAGGTAAAACTACTGTATATTGGTGTAATCCAAATTATCGTTCAATTGCTACAAATGATTCGTAATTAGCATTATACATTTGTCATAACAGTTGATTGCCCCTCCACACACTTAAACGGAATTACTTTTGACTTAACCGATATATATATATATATATATATATATATATATATATATATATATATATATATATATATATATATATATATATATATATATATAAATAAGTATTCATCATCCCATATTTCTGATTTCTTCTTCATTTTAATGATTCTTCCATAATGGCGACAAATAATTTGCATATTCGGTTTAAAGACCAATTATTTGATAATTGTTTTGTTATCAGTTTCCAATCACTTCTTTTGTTTTTATTTATTAAAAAAATTATTATTTTCTTGATAGACTCAATAAACTTATTGAGTTATTAAAATAATGCTATTTTCTGCTCTGGAAGTGTTAACCAAATTGAGATTTAGACTGTAATGAGCAGGACGCAAAGATTGAATCATTTGTTAGGTCTCTTGCTAGGATAGACAATTTTTTTCTCTCTGCAATTTCATAAGTCTACCATTCGTCCATACATTTGATATTGCTGTCACATCGGATCTGCTGCTTCTGTTATGTATTTAGAGATTCTTGACAAAATACAATCTGTAATATTAACGGTCTTGACCTGAGATCTCGACTTGAGTCATAAAATATACCTTCCCTGAGCCTTCCCTATGAATATATTCATGGTAATTGATAATTCGACTCACGAATTTAAATAAAGTACTAGATTGTCAGCTAGGTCCCATTACAGTTGAAATTACTAGATGTAACTGTAAGTTGTATGCTAACCATTTCTACTCTTACACTTTTTGCTTCTGGAACTATCCCTGCTGCCCTATCAACTACGTTAATAAGAACGCACATCCCCAAATGAGGGATTAACAATTCGAATTGGGGCAGGTGACCCTGAAAAGGGAAATATATAATAATTATTATTATTGTAATAATTTAAAGTATTTATTTTTATTAAAGTGTTTAGGAAAGACATATATCTAAGAACAGATAGAAAAAAGTAAAACGTTGCTGAGAGTTATAGTGGAGCGTGTGATGGTATTGAAATGGTTGACAGAATAGTGGAGTATATTAGTGACATCCACTCCGTTTATACATCAGACACCATTCACGTTCTCTGACGATTAAAACGTTCACCACAGGGTGTGGCTCGCCCATTCAGACAGAATTGACGAAGATATGAAATTATATCATGATTTCCCCATAGCTTACAAATTGACCCAGATTGTAAACAAGCCAACCCGGGTTTCCAATAGAGCGGCGAATCATGCTAACCTTTCTCACCTCATGCTCTAATCAATTTGTTTCGCAGATGTTTTTCCTTTCTTAGACCCCTCAGGCTAGTATTTGATCGAGGTTGATGTAAAATCAAAATCTCCTCAGATGTGCCGTTTCATGGGACACTCTGTCGCTATAATATGATTAAAACAGCTTCAGACCCTAAATTGCTGAACCAAATATTTTTAGCTCTCTTCAAAAGTGGGCCTTCCAAGACGGCCTCGCCTCATTTCCCAGTGAATTCAAAAGTGGGCCTTCCAGGACAGCCTCGCCTCGCCTCATTTCCCAGTGAATTCAAAAGTGGGCCTTCCAGGATGGCCTCGCCTCATTTCCCAGTGAATTCAAAAGTGGGCCTTCTAGGACGGCCTCGCCTCATTTCCCAGTGAATTCAAAAGTGGGCCTTCCAGGACAGCCTCGCCTCATTTCACAGTGAATTTACACCGGCATTGAAAGCTTTACACCCCACCATAAAAATATCCGCAAATGCTTAACAACCCACCTTTGTCCACACCTGATTTTGTTGTGGTCATGGTCCACCATAATTACTACTTCTGCCACTATCAGATGAAACGGTATAGCAGAACATTCAAAATTGTGTCCAATACCTGTCAAAGTCCTGGAGAATCGAAAGAGTAGCTATGCGCAGGTTGTCCATGCCAAAGTAAGGAAAAAAATCCTTGGATCCTGCTTGTGGAAAAAATCCTTGGATCCTAGTTGTGGAAAATTGCAAACGCAATACACAATATGGGCACATCAGCAATGCCCTTCATTATAAATGGTCCTGAGCTTATTTCATCCTTGTCGAATAAGGTTAAGCTCTTTACTGTAAACTTTGCATCTAACTCTAGGTTAGACGACAAACTGCCCCTTAACTGACTACCACACCCCACGGAGCACAATCTTTATCATACCGCTATTCTCGTCTCGGAAGGTTTCCATACATCAGAATCTTTTACTATACTGGTCCGGATAAAACCACTGTTGTTGTGCTCAAGGTTGACCCACAACTGTCTCATAAATTGCCAAAACTATTAAACCGCTGCCTTTAGAGGAAATGTTTCCCAAAACCATGAACATGTCTAGTATGTTTCCCATGTCCAAGAATGCAGGTGGGCCCACGTCACCTTCATAATATCAGCCCATCAACACCCTTAGTGTCATTATCAATCTCTTTGAAACTATCATAAACCAGAAAGTTGTTGAACACAA